ATAAATCGGCGCTAAAACTTTGAAGAGAAGTCAGTTGCACGGCGCATCCAGCGCATTTGGCCAATGCTGAAGGCTTAAGACTGTTATCTACTTGTTCTTATAAGTCATTGTTTGGAAGGGAAATAGTTAATGGCGCCGTTCGGCTTAGTGTGGGCACTAATTCATACTCAGCGGAATCCTGCAGGGGCATCTAGTGGTAAACTTTGAATTTTTGAGAGCAAAATGGCTTACTTGTGCCATTTTCAGCTTCACAACACTTACACTTCTTACCAAAAGGTAACCAGCTAAAGTGCAAAACGTCCTACCCGAGCCGAATTGGAGCCTAGTTATTAGTAAATTACCTCGAGATTCTCGAGGCCACCATACCACCATCCCATTTCCTCGCGTTCTTTAGGTGTTGCTCGGAGATATTCTTCCAATGTCACTTTTCTCCAACCCCATGTACCGTCTTCGTTCTCGACCAAAGCCGAAACTGAAAGAAATGTAGCCCTATAGACCCTATGAACATTCAATGTTTTTTAAAGGCAATGGCTAGGAGGCGAACAGGTGGCGTCAACATCAGTGGTGGAAGCGCTGTCGTGGGGGGGAGGGGGATTGGTCACAGCCACCAGCACGATGAGCAGGACAAGGCAATGCGGCAATGTGATGTATGGAATGAGGGAGTCAGTGCGACCCCTTCCCCAAGTTTCCTCATGTGGTGCGATCCCCATTCCCTGCTCTCTCAGCCACCTTCCTAAGTTTTCCCTCAAATTTTTCAAAAATCTTATTTTTTCACTTTTTCTCTTAAAACCGCCGTCGAGAGAAGGGGGAGGGGGCAGCAACTCGAAAAAATTCCAAACAAAGTTGGATACAACCCCTTTTCCTTGTAACCAAGAACGACCTCCAAAATTGGCTTCCCAACTATGCCTGCAATACCTAACGCGGCACGCCCCCCCCACCTCACCGTTGCCTAACCTTAATCGAACACACCAGCACAACACCACTGGGGATTTCGCTGGGCTCTATCCTGTTTCGTAGACCACTTTCTGCCCCTCCGACTTCAAAAACATCGCACTGAAACCATTCAAACACTCGTAGACATCACTGGACACCGCTGATAGCTGCGTTTACACTCTGTGCAAAAGCTATAGCCACAAAAGAGACAAGTCGCCAGATGTTCAGTTCTGAAGCTTTAACTTTCTCTCAGCTTCGAAGTATAAAGTAAGTAAATAAATAGAATGAATAAGGTACGCAGCTACTTGACCATCGTACTATATATAAACGGCAATGTTTCGTTTGTCTGTCCGGACATTCAGAATCACCTGAACAGCCAGTTGGAGGGGGCGTTTCAAGGGTGGGGTGGGTAGGGCATGGGCCAAGATGCACGGAACACACATGGAACTAGCTTAAGCCGCCCACAGTGGCGGGGCTGTGCGCAAGGTGTGAGCCTACAATATTTTCAAAATTCGCACATATCGGTCCGAAAGCGGCCCCGAGAGCCGGAAAAAAGTGGCAAACGATAGGCACATCACGGTGGCGCGGCAAACATGAGGTGCGACAAAAAAAACCCCATTCCCTTCGGGGGCGCGGGGCGGCGTTCTATAGGTGGGCGGTGCTTGCTACGAAAATTTCAAAAATTCGTAGTTCGGTTCCAAAAGAGCTCGGAGAGTGGGAGAAGTGGCAAACGATAGGCAATCAGTTGGCGGACGAAATTAATGAAGCACACCCCTGATGGGCGGGGCGTTCGCCGAAGAATGGTGCCGAGGACAAAAAACCCTCAAAACGCATCCGAAAAACCCCACGAATGGGGAAGCTGAGGTGGAATGAACACTGAATAATGATTTGGCAGATGGAGTTTAGTGAAGGGATAACCGTGGGAGAGGGATATACCGAATAATTGGTACCGTCGGCAATAGTTTATTCTGCGATTCCTCATCACTAAGGGGAGTGCCGCATAGAAAATTTTGATGACTGTCTTCAAGGGGTCTACAAAAGCAAGTGAGACGGCCGATCCGACTGGACCTCCCTCACATGGAAAGCTTCTCACCGGGACCCACTTTACACGCGAAAGGAGAATCAGCCGGCGGAAGCCAGCCGATCCGACTGCCCCCGCCCCTCTCATGGAAAACTTCTCACCGGGACCCACTTTACACCCGGAAGGAGGATCGGCCGGCGAAGCCGGCCGATCCGACTGGCCCTCCCTCTCATGGAAAACTTACCCATTTCACACGGTGGAGGAGCCGATTCGACTGGTTGCACCAGTGATGTGTTACACGATGGGCCCGGAGGTATTCATGTGTGTAGGCCTGATGTTAGTCGCCGTCTCGATGGGTATAACTACCTTAAGGCGAGGTGACGATGCCTGGCGGGTGGGCGTTACTGTAACGTCGATTTGGTTGGAGGTGCGGAAGACTCCGGCCCACATCCACTCAACCCGCTCAATAATGACGTTTGTAATAACTGCCCGCGCCTGGTATCGCGTCGTAAAGCTAAGCAATTGACTGCAACTGCCCTTAGAGATAGAACTGTTGAATACATTTTGCATTACATGACACATTTGCATACATGTTGGCCCAGTGAACTCATTGTGGACAGGCTTTACGGTTAGACTTCGAGCTGAATGCGTTTCTGACAGAGCGATTTTGGCGGACACTGTCACCAGTATCGTCCATACTTTCCAGGAGCTCTGTGAACAAGATTCTCTCATAACGTTCAAACTCGCTCTATAACAAGTGGGATTCAATCGATTCTCTTTAAAGTCACTGGTCTAACAGCTACATTACCTGGCCAACGAGTTCAATGATAACATTTTGTGAAGCGCTTGACTCACAATCCTCCGCAAGGCAGGTGAGCGGTGAGACCTGCGGATAAGTGACTTCGGAAAAAGGATCAAATGGCGCAGTTGGGCTTGGTGAGCACCGAAGGGGCACTCAGCTAAGCTTGTACAGGCCAATTCATGTGACCAAAGTGGCTCACTCGAACCATTCTGCAGCTTCACAGAGTTTACAGGTCTCATCAAGGTGGGACTTGTTATTCATCATGAACGAGAACAAAAAGAACTAGCAAAAGCGCAACATGCCCCCTCCAGCTCAAACAACGCTGTAGTCAACTTGGTGGCCATGAAATTTAATAAAGAAATCATCATACCTGCTGAGCTGTGAGCTTTTCCTTGAAGTACCCGGTTACGCATTCCTTGCAAAACGAATGCCCACATGGCAAAAAGCGTACGCAATAACGTCCGGTCTTATTCTCGAAACACACCTTGAATTCATAATTGATTTTCGCAATGAATAAACTGGGTTTCAATCTTGTGGGTTCCTGCTTATATAAAATTACTTCAGTGCCAGCCTTCAAAATTCGGGTTAGAACTTCGACAACTTTCTGGAAAACGGGCCCCAGAACTGATTTGACTCCCTGAAATGAACCGGCATGCACCAGCCCCAAGAAACTTTAAGTCACCGAATTTCCTGAAAATCTGTCTCGGGGCGCAGTTTAGTTAGCCCGACTTAGGCCGTTTCGTGCCAAGCGGTGCTCTATGGCTCTCGCAGAAAGTCAGAGCGGGACAAAACAAGACCCTTCCTAATTGTCTGCAATAAAGACGTTGTCCTTCCCTTTGCTAGCAATAAGGCTCAATCTAGTAGAGGAACGGATCACTATCATGAAGACGAGTGCAGACCAGTAGAAACAGGCCCTGCTGTCACATTGCAAGTGCTCCCTTTCCACCACGCTTGGCTCCCTCGGCACATGCGGATGAACATCCGCGTCCAGGAGCATTGCCTATGTGTAGGGACAAGTTTTCAGCGGTCTGGTGATTTTGGGAATTGCCGCTGGCGTCTGTGCGGACGCGGTCTCGTGCCAAACGGACGCGATATCTGCTTTAGAGGGGGGAAAAAAGGTGGGAGGGGACAGGGACGGAGGTGAGTCGAAGGTAAAAGTTCCCATAGCCCGCCGCTATGAATTCGGAAACATAGCAGTGAAAGAGTGAATAATATGCTAATTTGTATTTTACACCGGAATCCGAACAGTAAGAGCCCTCTCAACGCATGGGCAAACAGTTTGCGCTTGTGCTACTTGCCAGGGAGGGGTAGTAACCGTAACCCCTACAGCTTATCGCCCCCTACTCCTGCACACGAACACACCAAGACCCCACGCCCGCCCGCAGATCCCTGAATGGATGCCCACCGCAAGCCCGCGGTACAACCAAAACCACCACCGCCTCTACCCAGCACACCCCCACGACCCACCCCGCCCCCAGGGGAGAGGCATTTCAGCGCTTCTCCCTCTGCTTTCACTCAGTATCCGGCGTTATACAACAAAGTCTCCACATCTCCGGAAACACTAATGTGAACCACATTAAGCGAAGCCTCGGACGCAAGCCTCCTCGCTCCTACCCCCAAGCCCCGCCATCCTCACAAAGCACCCATTCACACCCCCTCACGCCCCACCGCCAAGCGGCCCTATACAGATTTCGCAACAACGCACCCTCCGCCCGACTCGGCACACCGCCCAGACATGCCCCACCCTCCCCCTCCTCCCCCCCCGCCTCTTCAGCCAGACACTGTGCGAAGGTCAAGTGGGCGAAAGGCCACCAGGCTAGGACCCCTTGCTCCGCCTGTGCCGAACCGACTACTCGAGCTGTCTTCACCACACACAACGTCATAAGCTCAGATATTCATAGCACTACCGTATGAACACTTGAAAGAAAAATGTAATAAACGATCGTCGAAACCCGAACAGTTTTGCCGCGTACACCCGTTAACTAGAAAACCGAGTTTGGTTCTTATTAATGGAAATTTGGCGGCAGATCGGCTTGGTGGTGATTTCTAATTATTACTGATGCCTTCTGAGGAGACGAGTGAATTTCTGTTGAGTTGTGCAATAGCAGGAGCCTCGTTCACATTTGACAAGAGTCTACAGTTCACGCCAGGTTGAGACGTGTATTCAAAAGGAACTAGCATGGAACCAACGAAAACAAAATGCCCCTTCCAAGTCGAACTGCACCGAAAATTCTGAAGTGATCCATGATTGATCTACCTCACAATCGTGGACACTGCGCCAAGAATGCAGCCATTTCTGCATTTTCGCTTTCTTCTCGTACTCGTCTCAGCAATTCCATCGGTCGCAGATTCTGTAGATAATTCAGAAATTAATTATTCACAGCGAAAATTCACTACTCACATGTTTCTTCGCGTAATCGCTGAATTCGAGACGAATTTCTTCAAGATCTGTTTCGGCTACAAATTTCTTCACATCCTCATAGCACAGAAACAGTGTTGGAGACCCTATGTTCGCTTCAAGAATATCGCGAAGACGCTTGAGAAGTCTGTTCCTTCTGTAAAAATTGCTTATTCATAGAAAACACAAGCTCCCTACTTTTCTTCGTGAAAACTCGAGATCAAAAACTCAATTGGTTTACAGAAGAATAAAAGCATTCACAAGTTTGAGGTGCAAAGTTCGACCATGAGGATCTGTATTTATACTACATATGCGTGTATAAATTGAGCAGAGCTTAAACACAATGGGCGGGGCGTGTGTCCAAATGAGTGGTGCTCAGATCAAGGCTTTTAACTAACCAGGAAAGGTCAACAGGTCGCCATGGCCATTCAGGATGGGATGCATATTGCCGTGTGCGTCTTGGGCACTGAACTCAAACTGCCTTTAGAATTTGCTGAACGATTCTCCAGGAGGAGTTAGGGAGGGGGGTTCTTTTCATAGCACTTGCCCATCGTCGTTTGTGGTAGCTCAAGTTAAGTTCGATAACCAACAGTGCCGAAGCGGCGGTGGTGTAGTGGATAGGTAAGTTGCCTCATAGATGAGAGGTCAGAGGTTCGAGTCCTTGAC